AACTTCAATGCAGTTGTAGTTCTACAATAACAGGGCTTTTGTGTCTGTATATATGTAGGCTTTGTTTAATTTCTGATATGTTTTTACTACCTGAGTACTCTGAAATCAAATGCCACCTTTAATCTTGATCCTGCAGCCATTTATGATTATGCTTTCCTTGTTGCATGTGAATAGTTCTGTTCAAATGAATAGATCTAATCATACAGATGTAAATGGCCTATACTGTTACTTGACTTATCAGTTATTTCCCCTGTGCTCTCCCAGGAGGACCATATCATCATCCTCATCCTATCATTGTTGTGCTATAAGAAGGTCATTTGTAATTGTATTGTTTCTTATGGGCCAAAGCTTGGCATACCATGTATGAATGCATTCCCGAGAAAAATAGGGCCCAACTCAGGACAGCACACATATTATCAGATGGTCATAATATTTCTGGCTGGAAAACCATAGGGAACATACAGGGATTTCATTTCAGGTACTACGCCAGGGCATAATCTAGTATAATTCAATGTCTAGATATGTGATACATATACTTGTGAGAAATTTCTATGAGTAACATATGACCCCTACAGTAGCCCATTGTGCATTTTATTTCTACTTGAAGAAGAGGTATATTTTTTTAAAGAAACTTTCCTTTGGTTGTTTACTGGCAAATGGTAGACAACATGAATGTTGCTATTGCAGGGTATTGATTTCCCATCTTTGAGGGATGGCGGTACGCCAATTTTCATTTGTCCAGTGGAGATTCTCCTTTTCCCTTAGAAGTATGATACAATTTTGACTCTTTAAGCTCCTGTAGTTTTCTGGAAAAGATCATCCAGACAGTCCCTGGTAATTTTAGTGTTGCATTCTGACATCTTTTCCTAAACTGAGTAGCCTGTTAGTCCACAAGTGGTCCTACTGACTATTTGTTAAGGAAGGTCCATGTTAGAAGAATACAAATATCAGCATTTGTCCCTTATTGAGGCTGTGAAATAGGAGGATCCAAGTGGTCAAAAATAATATGTTTGACTTACCATATTTGTAATCAGACTAATACATTGGGTAGCGGTCTACCCATCTGCTAGCAGTTACAGAGACAATGAAACCCTGTCTCGTGCAAGAGTTTGGAGAGCCTCTCCTCATTGTTTCTAGATTTCTTGTTTCATGCCCCTCCCATCTGATTGCTTGCTTGTTATCATATCATTTTGCTTCATTTTGGGACCACTATTACACATTAAAACCCTCTGTAATACAAGGCAGACCTAACAAGTTCAGATTTGCCTATTTGTCTAGGTTGAGTGTGTATTGCCTCTTGCCCTTCCTGCCCATTGAAGGTTTTTAATAATCATGGTTTGGCCTGCTTATTACCCTCTCATCCACCTTATAAAATGAAGGTGTGTATCATCTTTGGAATGTTCTTACTGGCACCAAACAGATGGATGAGGAGAGAGAGCAAGCTCCTATCAGTTGCAAGTTTCGCAAAAGAAAACAAAAAATATTGCTAGAAGCCCGTATTACTGTGACTGATGTGCTTATTTTGTCTGTACCATGCTACTGTAGCTCAGAAACTCCTGTTTTTTCACTTGCCTGCCATTCTGTGGGAAAAGAAACAGATGTTCCCATTTGTCTTTTGATGTGGCTCAAAACCATTTACATTTGCTGGCCTAAAATGACACAATGCGTCATACACCACTCTTTTCTATCATCTATGGATTGAATGGCAGATTGCTACTCAATTACTAGGATAATGGAAAAGGAGATATTGTGAGGACAGTTGTCACCTGTAGGAAATACAATTGCCAGCTGCTGCTGTACTGGAAAGAGAAGGATGGCACTGTAGAAACTATGCAAAGAAATAGCATATTTTTATTATTACTAGTGTCATAGGAAAGACTCCTGGGGAATGAATTGGATCTATTGGAGAGAGAATATAAATATGAGAAAGAGATAGCCACTACCCCCTTAACCCATGTTCTTGCCTCTTTGCTTCAAATAAATGTTATTTCAAATCTATTTGCTCTCCCGTCTTAATTGCAAACTTTTTCACCCTCCATGAAAACAAATGCAAGTCTCACTCCCCTAAAGGCATAACTCTCTAAGAATACTGGTTCCTGTGGATAAGATGGAATTGCTTTCTATAATTATCTGATTCAGAGATTTTGCTAGAAATGGGGAATGCAGGAAAGAGGTGTCCCGTTTACAGACCATTGAGGCCCATTGGGGCAGTGAAGGCAGGGCTCCATTGTTTCTTTAACTCTGGAATGAGTCAGATATGATGTGGTCAGCAGTGTGCTCCAGCCACCTTTAATACCCCATTAGCTCCTGGTACCCACTGGATAGAAGGCTGGGTGGGCCTCAGTGCTGCATACCATCCATCTAAAATCTCTTATAGTCTTCTATCTTGAAAGAACAAAATAAAATACGAATTTCTCATATATTTCTGATTGTCTTTGCATGTAACATGAATTAAATATGTAGTACTTTATTCCCCATTATATTACTCCTATGTAATAGGTCAGTATTTCTCCATAGAATTACCAGCTTAAAGTAGCATACTAATGAATCCAACACAGATTATTTAAAAACTTGCTATTTTAATATGACTTTTCACTGAGAACTTGTGTTTTTAAGAAGCTGAATAACTTGGAATCAGATTATGAAAATACTTGATTTTAATTAAAAAAATATTGTTGTTATATTGGCACTTGTTTTTTTTTGGATGTAGAAACAAGTATTGGCAAAATTGCTGTTATTTTGGTGAATGCAATAATTTAGATGCAAAAATTATTCCCAGCAATAAATATCAGTAGTTCCTATTAAGGCCTGACCTGCTTTTTTCTGAATGTAATTGCAAAACTGAATACAATTTAGTTAATATTTAGTAACACAGTGGTCACAGTGAAATCCTGCCTTTTGCTTAGTTATGGAACTGAAAATAATTCTATAGATATTATTTTTAATTACTTGCAATGGATAATCATAAGGATTTCACTAGTGACTATTTAAATAGTTTTACCATATATCTTGAATATGTGGTTTCAAACCACGGTACTTGAACTAAAACAACCTTATCTTCCTGAAGAATATCCCATAGCATCAAAGCATTCTCCTCTAGCATATTAGCTATTTGCTGCAAGCCTTGCAAAATAACAGTTTACATTCTAGCGTGTCTAACTTCCCATTTGCGTGTGCTCCCCATACTGTAACTGGACAGGCAGGTTGATAAATAAAATGCTGGTCTTATCAAATGCTTCTGGTCATCCATGTAATGTGATTTTTACAGGTTAAAGCCCACTCATGCGCTAAGAAATTATTATAGCTATTCATCCATTTAGGCCTGTAAAAATCAGTATGAACAGTTACAGCCCAGCTATAGGGCTAGTTTCTCAGCTGATGTAAATCAGTACAGCTCTATGGATCCCAGTGCAACTGTGCTGATTTATACCTGCTGAGACTCTGCCCCAGATGTCTCAGATAGTGTGTAAAATACATGCTAATCTGATCAGCTAAGGATGTAACTGTATGTGCTGTGGCTCAGAATGAGAATGCTTCTACACTAGTTCCACCTGCTGGATTGTGAGATGTATTACCTGCCAAAAAACTAGGAAAGTAAAATGTCTGACTATTGAAGGGATGTTAGTAAAATTAAATATACTACCACAAGATGCACAATATTTACTTATAAAAATGCACTCTTTTTAAGGTTGGTTTGTTTGTTTTTCTTCCATCAAGCTAGACACATTTCTGCTACTGCTGTTCTCCACAGCAGACCCCCCATATGTTAAAAAAAAGCCAGGTGGCTGAAATAGGGAATGACAACGCAGTGCAGTATATAAGTTGTGGTACTAAAAAAAAATCAGCTACCAGATAAGATCAAAGCAGGAGGAGACAGCAAGATACATCTTTATGATTATCAAGCCTGTTTCAGGTCTGGGACATGAATTTCCTTTTTTATCAATCTCTATGCTCTGGAGTCAGTTCCTAGAATTCCTCATTATATCTGATACCTAATTGTTCCCTCTTAAAGGATTCTGTCACCATTCTGAAAAGAAACCGAATAACCGCACTGGTGATATTTGATGCAATATGTTACAGCTTAGCTTTTAGGATTAAATTGGGTCTAAAATAGGGTTCTCTGTTGTTGAAAACACAGATTGCCTTATTCATTCTTAATCAGTTCAGGCAGAAGGTCAAAGGAGCTTGGTACTGTGTCCATAGCCTCTCTCCTTGAATACCTTTCTCTGGGGTAACTTGTCATTTGGTACCTGCCTGCAGTCTAGGAGCTGGGTGGAGGAAGAATGGCTAATGAAAATGAATACAAAGCAGTGGAGAAAACAGGGTATGAATGCGAATGAAAAACGATTGTAAAAACAAAACAAAACCAAACCCAGAAATCATTAAAGCACTACAGCAATCTTGCTCTGGTTTGTTGGTTGGTTTCATTTTCCCCTTATATGCCTTCTTAGTCATTTGCCATGCATTTTTTATACTTTATGTGAAGTAGTGTCGAGGTTTTTGGTTTAAAAATAAAATTCTGACTGATCTGTTGCTACTATAGTCACCCTGCATAGCATTGCTTGCAATAGGTTGCTCAAATCTAAAATGTGGCTACTTCAAAGTGCTTGTATGAATGTTACTCCAGAAAAAAAGATCTTTTGAAAGTAAAAAGGTTTATAAAATAAGTAAAATAACAATCAATCAATAAGCATATGTGTTGTGTATGTCGTATAAGTATAGATAACTTTGCTGAGCATTTAGATGTTTCCTGGGGTATGGAACAACTCTGCCTACTGCTTTAATCTGCCACCCAGTTTGAAATGTGACTGTTTTAAATGTAATATTTTTATGTTTGCAATTTTTCAAATTTCTTCTACCTTCACATTTCCCCTACTTTATTGTGGGGCCTTGTTGTAAATTAACAGTTTATGCTACATTGGTTACCATTAATATCAATGCTACTGTTACCAATAAAAAGATGTTTCATAAACAACTTTGCTGTGGCTTTTTTTTGATAGATGATAATGGCACAGAGGAGAAGCAGAGTACTGAAGAAACTGAAGGCCGGAGCCAAGAAGCAGGTTTGTGCTGAGTTTTTTCAAGCATTCTCCCAGGCTTTATCCACCTTGGTGAACAATAACCTTAGTCAATGCTATTGACTGAAAACGTTTGTAGGTTTTCACCAGATTAACTCAGGGCTTGTGCATTTCTCCCATTGGAGACCACAGCTCCATTCATTATGAATGAATGAATGTATTGCCGT